TCATTCTATATTGGCCTGTTCTTTTCCATTTTGCCTTTGGCTAGGATGATCCAGAAATATCCCTTAGGACTTATTAATCCTCAGCTTAAAATCTTCTAGTGCTGTACTGTCCAGTGCAATAGCCACTAGTCAAATATGGCTCTGTATGTATTTACTTAATTAAAATTAAGTAAAATTTAAAATTCAGTTTTTCAGTCATACTAACCATATATGTAATAACTGTATGCAGCTAGTGTATTGGATAGTGCAGAACAGAACATTTGCATTGTCAGAAAGTTGTAACGAACAGTGTTGCTTTCCCAATTGCATTTAAGATGAACTCCAAGCCCCTCTGAAGTCCTTTACGATCCTACTTCATTTATCTTTGTAGACATTGCTTATCCTTCAGCTTCACTTCTGCATCCTGCTTACCTGTCTTCTTGAACTGTGAAGCTCAGAGCCTTTGTACATACTATTGCTCTCTCCTGAACACCTGCCCTTCGCTGGGATAACTGCTCTTCTAGAATTTTGGCTTTAAAAGTCAATTCCAAGAGAGGCAATCTTGCATTTTGACCCCTAGAAACTAAGCTGTTTTTCTGTTATATGATTTCTTATAACTGTGACTTTTTCTTTGTTAGAAGAAAAATCTATTTAATATTCTCATTATTATTTATTTAATGTTTTTCTCCCTGGGGATAGTAGCTATTCTTTTACCTTCAAACTTCTGATATGCAGCACAGTGCCTAGCCAAGGTTAGGCACTGTATAATTTCCAGGGCTGGAGCATTCTGAAAGATACAGACCGGGAAGCACATGTGTTCAGTGAGTGTCTGAGATTTCACCAGAAGAGGCATGTAGGTTTAGAAAGTCAAGAGATCCTGCATATGAGGGAGGTATTTATTTATGATGCTTACTTTTTACTGGAAGTATGACTCATAGGATGCAAAGTTCAGGACAGTTCAGAGCTGGACTAGTCAAATGGTTTTAGAATCATCATCTTGTCTTTGATGTATATGTAGTTGGGTGTGGATGAGGCTGTGTATATTAAGGAAGAATCATTTGAAGTTGATAGACAAAGGAGACCAGCTAGAATGGAACAGCTGTCAGTTTTTGGAGGCCACTTAACTGAGTTTTGATGGGTTGGGGCAGGCAGTGAGACTGCTGAGGCCTGGTGGCAAGGTGAACAGGCCGCCTTGTTCCATTTAGCACCTGAAGAGGAAAGGCTTTGGAATAGCACCTTACTTATCCAGAAGCCTCTGAAAGATTTTGAATGAGTTTCTTAAGAAAATCCCCACTCTTCTCCTCCCACATTTGTATCCTTTCCCTTATGTGGGGGGAAAAGAAAGCAAAGAAAATAAATTGGAATCCTCAGAATGAGTTTTTAGTTTGGATTCTTAATTTGAACTGTCTATGGCCCCCTGCCTGGGGAAAAGGAAATACTCAGTTTTAAGAGGAACTGTCTTTGAATTCAGTGAGAATTGTCTCTCACCCAGCATTCCAGAACTGATAATGGATCATTGACTGCTTTGGGAGTTTTTAGATTTAAAAAAAGAAGGGCACCAAAAAAAGTAAGCAATTTTTTTGGCAAAGAGGGGAGTCTGCTTAAGAACTCCCTTAGTGCTTCTATGGATTCCTTGGCTGGATTTAGGAATTCAGTTTATATAAGAACTGATTATCATGTGAAAAGCACAAAAGTTCTATCAGTTTTACATGTACATAGATGTGAAGTTCAAAGAAATGACCAAAGCATGATGCTTTTATATTTTTCAGACAAAGAATAATAAATCTGTGAAGGAATGACAGGACAAATGGATATCTGGACTAGAGCAGTAAATTCAAAGGGTGTTACCAAGAGATATGTGTGGGAGGAAGATGGAGAAGCTAGTGAAGGATAAAGATTAAAGTTTGTTTACTCAGGTTCATTGCAGCCCCAGTTACTAGTATGTGGTGATCATGGTTCTTTTCCAGCCTTGGTATGTGAAGGGCATCCCTCCTGAAAGAATCTCCATGGCTTGCTGCACGTAGGCAAGGCCAGGTCATATGGCCTTTCTACAATTACAGATCTTCAAATGATTGCAGTCTGAAATAACCAATATACAAATTTGGCATGTTTTGAGATGGTACATTTTTAATCCCTTTATTGTCAAGAATTCTACTAGTATCTGGAAAAGATATGAAGACAAATTCTTCTTCTGCCCATCTCAGTTCCACAGGAACGCCACCACTTGTAATCTTTGCTCTATTCCAATAACTCAGTTATAGAAGTTCATGTGTATATACACAGCATATATACACAGTAATAAAAAGTCATAACTTCTTGATTCTTCTGTGTTTCAGACTTGCTTGTTTCAAAATCTACTAAGTACATTTGCATTTTTCTTGCTTTTGCTTCCTCAACTTAGTGAGGCAGCCTGTGACACTTTCTAACAACTAGACTTTGAACTCTCATAGCCACGTGGTAACACTGACCAAAAGCCAGTAGTGCAGCTGTGAAACTGACTTTATGTATCATGTAGCTTTTGCATCATTAATAAAACTGAAAGCATAGGGGAATAAATGCTTGGTACCAGCCCCAGCTATCATATACTACAGTGATTTTACTGGATGCTAACATTTTAGTTTCTGTCCTGGCCTGTCAGAGTATAGTTCTTAGTGCTTGTTTAAATTCCAGAACTGCCACTTTCCCATGTGAATGTGCCAAGTAGCTTAACTTCTTTTTGCCTCAGTTCCCCTTCATATAAAACAGTGATGCGAACATGCCTACCTGGGGTAAGAATGAAAGACACAATAATGTAAAGCTCACAGTGGGTACATATTAGCTCTCAAAAGTATTCTCATTATAGTAAATTATTGTCACTTTCATTTAATAATTTTATATTACAAATTGACTGCCAGTGATTTTAAAAAGAATCAAAAGACCCAACAATTGAGCTGTCTGTCTTCTGTGGTGGAGATATAAAGCATTCTTCCTTATAATGAGAACATAATTTTCAAGGAATCCTATTGGGAAGCAAAAAGCCTTTTTAGTGGTTGGCATTCCTCCTATCCTCTTGGCATGAGTGTACCAAGGAAAAGCAGAAACAGGTGAATGAATACCTTAGATATTTGCCTACATAACATTTAGTGCTCATGTTGGTTTTCTAAAGGGGTAAGAAAAAATTTTGAAGTGAATAGCTTTTATTGTTATTTGCAAATACAGTAGAAGCATTTTATGTTTAAATTTTCAATTAGACCCTTAAAGAGTTTCATTTTAATAACATTTATGGTCTGATTATTAAGGTGATACATTGCACAGCAATTGGAAATTCAGAAAAATATAAGGAAGAGAATTAAAACCCTGCCTAATCACAATGGCCTGGATGTTAACATTGTGGCATATTTCAGTATATTTTATTACATTAAGTATATTTTAAATATATTTAAATTTTAATTTGATGGGCTGGGGATGTGGCTCAAGCGGTAGCGTGCTCACCTGGCATGCTTGGGGCACTGGGTTAGATCCTCAACACCACATAAAAATAAAATCAAGATGTTGTGTCCACCGAAAAACTAAAAAATAAATATTAAAAAATTTTCTCTCTCTCCTTAAAAAAATAATAATTTGACATCACACACTTTTTACATATAGCTTGTATTTTTCATTTACTAACTATCAGTAAATGTCCTTTTATAATATGATTTTTAAAATAAATATATGGCTTTCTACTGTATGTGTATTTACTGATTTAAATCCATTATGTACTATGGATCAGTTTTTCACCATGGTGAACATCCGTGGGGTTGAATCTATTTATGACATAGTATATTTCTTCTGTAAGCAGTGCCTTATCACTTGGGATCATTCTTTTCATTATTTTCCAATGTTACTTTTTTTAATTTTCTATTTCTTTACTTAGTAGTGAGGGTAATCCTACTTATCCACTGTTTTGGACTCTTACATATTGGTCAGAATATTGGTCTTTTCTTGCAATGGACAGGTATTGTCCCTTTGTCAGTTGTCACAGTGATTTCCTTGTTCTTGTTTTCTAATCATGGCCAGTTTAAAGACTTTCTATTGGACAAATGGCTAACAGTATTAGAGAAACATGTCTATTCCCTAGCAAATCAGTGCCTTATGTTTTTCTCATATTTTCCTCAGTCATCTCTGTGTAAATGTTTCATATAATTTAGAGATTATTGGATTGAAAGTATACGTAGAATTTTGTATTCTGACTTATTTAGGAGTCATGCCTCATTCTGAAAAAGCGCTGCCTAAGGAATGCAGTACAGTTCAAAAACCCACTCCCAACGAGCTTGGATGTGCTTAAAATAAGCCACAACATATATCTGCTTGGTCTTGCTGCTTTTCCTAATGCTCTGCTGAAATTTGAAATGATAAAGACTATAAGGAATATTATCTGTTAAAGAATTGAATTGATCAACAAGATACCCTCTAGATTTTTATAACCTCATTGGTACATGCTCTGCATGAATGCCTATATTGTCCTCCCATTTAAGGCCCTCCCTTCTGCTTTGCCTTGTCCACTGTGATCCTGAGAGAGGGAAATTCTAGGGGACATCTCTTTTGACCTCTTCCTTTTTCCTGTCTCCTTGGAAGCTGCTTCTAGAGGCATTCTTGGAAACTCTGCTTTCCTGCCTTTGTTCCGCCTCTACTGAGTCCCAGCATGTGGTCAGGGCTGCCAGGTACTTCTTTCCAACCCGTTGGCCACACCCAAGAAAATCAGTAATGTGCCTTCTTTATGGGTCTGGCATTCAAACTTTTACACCACAACATTTAAGTACCCTTATGTGTTAGGCCATAGAGCCACGAAAATGAATAAGACAGAAATTATGACCCAAAAGAGGCAGGTACCCTTGAGAGATTTGTATAAGTAAGCAAGCAGTGGCAACTTCAGGTACAAACACTTCAATGCTCTTTTTATAGTGTTTTAAGAAGGAAGTGGGGCAGGAGAAATAAGAGGCCTTCAGAACTACACCTGCCTTCTGCATTTTACTAAGAGGGCAGAAAGACTGTCAATGGGGTCTTGCTTATTGATGTGGTACAGTGACCAAGGACAGAAGCTTGGAATTGTTCAGATCTGGGATCAGAACTGGGAAATGCCATAGTAGATTCTTAGGAAAGTGACTTGAGCCTGTTTGGGTTTCAGTTTCCTCATCTGAACAGTGGGGATAGTACCTCCTTATGGGCTTTGGTGATGGGTAAACAAGAGAATAATCATGGTACCAGTTGCAGGAATAGTGCTCACTACCTGCCAGTTTTATGTTGTCCCATGCATGAAAGCAGCCTCCAGTAGATCATTAATACCGAATAAATGAAGTGTTCTGGCTGCCCCCAACGTCAGAAAAGAACTGAGAAGGAAAAGTTCTTCTCAGAAGCCCTGTCTAAGCCCCTGTGCTGGTGAGAAGTGTTGCCAGGGTGTGGTCTCTGAAGGTGGGTGGGGCCAGAATGAACAAACTCCTCCAGGCTCTGGGCAATACAAAAGTGAAGGTGAACTTGCCTTACACAGGCAGCAAGCCTTTCCTCGTCCCCTACAGGATGGACCCAGCAGCTTATGCTGAGCTATTGAAAGAATCTGGCAACCAGGTTCTTAAGAATGGGAACTTCTCTTTGGCCATCAGAAAGTACGATGAAGCCATCCAGATTCTCCTGCAGTTATACCAATGGGGGTAAGTATTTGGATTTTATATCCACTTAAAAAAAATAAATGAATACTCTGTTGTTTATGTTTTCTTCTCATTTCTTACTGCACCATCTTGTTTCTGTTTCCTTTCTCCCTCACTTCCTATACATTGTCAGCACAGAAATTGAATGAGAATGTTAGTGGAAAAAGGGAAACAGAAACTGAAACACAGAGGGCTGTTGATAAACATAACAAGAGCTTCTACTTCTGTCTGGTTAAGGGATCGCACTTTCTGGGACAGCTGAAGTCCCCTCTTTCTTTCATCTTCTTGATGTTCTTGCCCTTTACCCCTGACCACAGGGGCACACCTTCCAGGCACCAAGGCTTACTCTTGCTTTCCTTGCCCCTTCAGCTTTAGGAGACCTGTTCTCAAACACTATAGTCATGACAGGATGAGAAATTATTGAGGACCCCAAACAGCCTTTGTTTATGTAGGTTATAGCCATCTGTTAATCCAAATTAAAACTTAAAACTGAGAAAGATTTAAAATATGTAATTTTTAATTTATTAAAAATACCCCAAGTCTATTATGTTTTTACAAAAAATACCTACGTTTTTCAAAACAAAAGTTTTGTGAGAAGAGTGGCACATTTTTGCAAGTTTCCTTAGCATTTACCTTAGTAAAAGATAGTTTGTTTCTTTACCTGTTTCTGCATTCATTTTGTTTTGATATTACATTATGTAGCCTCAAGAAAATTCCTTGTATGCTGTGAGAGACTAAGTGTGAAAAAGGTTCATAGTGTTTTAGTATTATTGTTCTGTTATTTCCTGATGTTGCTGTAACAAATTACCATGAACTTAGTAGTTTAAAACAATACATATTTTTCTTTTACATTTCTGAAGGTCAGAAGTGTGAAATGAATTTTGTGGGGCTAAAATCAAAGTTTTATCAGGGTGGCTGCTTTGTGGGACTCAGAGGAGAATCCACTTTCTTGCCTTTATAGTGTCTATCTGTATTCCTTGGTTTTTGTCCCCTTCCATTATCAAAGCTCATTGTTCCAATCTCTGTGCCCATCATCATAGTGCCTTCTCCTTTCCTGTAGTAGTGTCTCACTTTGTCTCCCACTCCTAAAGATCCTTGTTATTGTATCATAGTCTAAGATTATCTTCCTTCTCAAGATCCATACATTTGTCATAACTGCAAAATCCTTTTTGCTGTAAAAGGTTATATTTGGGAGCCATTGTTTGGCCTACTATGATGGTGAAAATATTTTGATCTTGTGAACCATCTGAAATGAAATGGTCTTATGACCCTCAGAGATTTGGAGATCATTTTGGGGGAAATGGCTGTAATAGAGGGAGCAGAAGTTGGCATCTGTGGGGTATACACAGTCTAAACATGTCCTGTGAATTAAATTACTGAAACATAGCTCTCACCTCCTTTTTCTATCATCCCTGGTGTCTGAACTCTAAATGAACTTGAGTTGAGTGTGATTGATTTATGCCTGTAGCTTCTCTTGTTCTGTTTTAGCCTGGTATATAGATCAGGACTGTGTAAGACTGGGCCTAGAACTCCTCATTTAGTATAAAACATTCAAATTTCCTAATGAGGTACTGTTGCAGAGTGGTTTTGATGGTACACTGATTCCACACTGTTTGTGCTTAGATCTTAGCTCCTTCACTACTTTTGTGACCACTAATTGGGACTTCTGCCTCAGTCCTCACATGCTGCTGAACCTTCCTGACACTATGCCCTTGCCTACTTCCGGCTGCTTGCTTTCCTGCCTTTGTTAGCAAACAGAGGGATTAGGTGTGTGTGATTTTCTGAGTGAGTCCTCTCAGGAGAATGGGACCCAGGGAAGCAAGCTGGGGCAGGTTAGAGCTCCAAGCAGGGATGGTACTTTCAGGGTGGATTCAGCCTGATTGCACTGGAAGTTCTGGAGCATGAATTCTACCATAGAGCTGGTTCCACTTTCAAACCAGAGGGCTAAACTTTTCATTGCCGTGTCAGTCATTGTAGGCTGTCCAGCCTCTGGGGGTTGTCCTAGGGAGTGGACTGCCATAATAAAATACTGTAGACTGGGTGGCTTAAACAAAGCGAATTTATTTCTCATAGTTTTGTAGGCTGGACATTCAAGGTGCTAGATGATTTGGTTCCCCTATGAAGGCTCTCTTCCTGGCTTATATGTAGCTGCCTTCTTCCTGTGTCCTTACATGGCAGATAGAGAAGAGAGCGAGTATGCTCTCTAGTGTCTCTTCTTACAGGGGCACTAGTCTTGTTATGAGGGCCCCACCCTCATTACCTCATCTAAACATAATTACCTCCCAAAGGCCGTATCTCTAAAACTGTAACAGTAAGGGATTAGGGCTTCAACATATGAATTGTGGGGGGCATAATTCAGTCTGTAGCATGGTGTAACTTCCTGGGGAGAGGGCAGCTTTTGTTAGTCAGAGGGTAGGTCACTGGAGAAGGGAGTTCTGAGAGCCCCTAGATGGAGCCAACAGTTGCTGCAGCTGGAAATGGTTACACATGTCTGGAAAAGTCACCATGGTATCACGTTTGTGGTCATGGGTACCCTGATAACACCTGCTACCTGCTTTGCCAGTCCCTGCCTTCTGAGTCTTATCCCTTCATCTGAAGGAACTCATAGGCAGTGAAATAAGCCAGATACACAGAAAACCAAGGGTGGGGACAGTAATAGAGGTGATTTTTACTTTATTTTTGTTTGTATTACCTAACTTTTCTACAGTGATTTGTATTGTTTCACAATTAAAATATTAAATACAAAAGTTGTAAGTCTTGCTTTTCTCCTTTGTGTGTTTTACATTTCAGTGGCACTTGGGCTTGTCTTGACACTGTAGTATATTTTGTATCTTACTTCTTCCAACCTGGTTTCAGTTCTAACCTTGCTACTGTACTACCAATAGACTCAGGCAAGAGGGGCTCCCTGCTGTGCTTTAGAGGGTCCCCCTTTGGCCATCCTCCAGCTGTGACCCTTCCTACAGGCAGGAGTCTGTGGGGTTGGGGCTTCACTCACCCAGAGCCCTTGCCTCCCCTTTGTCCACACTGATTAGCAGGACCCTGGAGTTCCCTGCCCATAGACCCTGCTCCCAGGGCCTGCAGGAGTCTTTAATCTGCAGCCTATGGTATGGTCATATGTTCTGCAAGATCCTTCCTGTGTATCACTGCATCCATTCAGCACCAGCATCTGTGTGGAGTGGTTCCTGTAAAGGCCCAGTGGGAACTCCCCTCCTTAGCACCAGTCACCATTTTTATAACATCTTCTCCAACAATCTCTGAAAAATAAAAAGATTTGTGGAGATCAGTGGGAGATGGAACTAAGGTAATGAGAATATTTGCCATTAGAAGGTGGGAGCAGAGAACTTGGAAGTGAGGAAGAACAAATTTGTACATTGTAAATGCTCTAGGCTTTCTAGGGGGCTACAGAGGACAGATCTGATGGGTATAATTGAGACATTTCCTGCTGGAACCCTCTTCCTGATGCCAGGGTGGCCTTCAAGGATTGTTTTCCATGTTTGCTTTATTGACCACCATTTTGTTCTTTCTCACAGGGTCCCCCCGAGGGACTTGGCTGTGCTGCTGTGCAACAAGTCCAATGCATTTTACAGTCTTGGGAAATGGAACGAGGCTTTTCTTGCTGCCAAGGAGTGTCTTCAGTGGGATCCAACCTATGTGAAGGTATGGGTTGGTGGCAGCTTTGGGTGGTGGCTGCTGCCCTCTTCCTCTTAACCTGCCTCTTTTTCTCCTGTCTTTTTTTTTTTTTTTTTTTTAAGCATAGAAAGCTAGTTTTATTTAAAGGATAGAACAGAAAGAGACTTCTCTGAAGAGAAGGGGCCCCAGAGCTGGGTGTCTGAGAAGTGGGAGTATCCTGCCCCTTTTAAACATTTTAGATTTCCTTTGTTCTCATGCTCTCTCCTCCCTCCTTTCTTTGTAAAATGTAGATGCTAGATGTGCTTCTCCTGAAATTTTCTTTGTACTTAAGACAGCGGCCCATAGGGCAGGTGAGCATTACCTGGAAAAGAGTAAAACCAGTGTTAGCAAATAATTCACTTTTTTGGGACAGTGGAGCTTGGCCTCCTGGCATCTGGAGGAGAGTGAGATTTTGGAGGAGCTCATATTATTCTTATATAGTTATACCAATACTCCTAATCTGTTCATGTTTTTTGCTGTTTATAAGTTTCATTATAGCCAGGCTTTCTTTCAGATGTAAGCTGGGTAGATGACATGATGCCAGTTCTTCAGAGAGAATTTCTTAGTGTAGAAATCAGCTCCTTGAGGAGAAATCATGGAAGTTTGAGAGGCTGCATTTCAATTAAAATGCCCTAAGTGTCCACTTTTTTTGGGGGGGAGGGGCTTGTTGTTACAGTGCTGGGGATTGAACTCAGAGCCTCATGCATGCTAGGCAAGTACCCTACCACTGGACTGCATTCCCAGCCCTAGTGCCCACTCATCAAGGCAGGTACACAGGTTCTTGATGCCTCAAGGCAGACAAAAGGAGCAGAGGACACCATCCCAGCCATTTAGTATTTCACATTCAAGTTGGCAAGAGGAATTCTGGTGCAAATAAAATAACAGGATTTAAATCAAATAGCAATTCTGGAGCTATCTGAAGCAAATGACAATTAAGTGTCAACTTAGTGGTCTAGACAGTTTTTAGAGAGGCTCCACAATAAAGTGGGAAAAGCCTAGGCCTTTCTGTCTCATGTTCTACAGTGTTCTGGTTTCAGCAGATTGGCTGAATTACACTTCTCTCAGCCTTAATTTCTTCCACTGCAAACTGAGATAATGCTTATGTGTTGCTTCAAGGATTAAGGAGACAGTAACCAAAGTTGTTAGCACTTAGTAAGTAAGAGTTATTGTTATATCCTTAGTGGCATTTGTGTATGATTGCTGGAAGTAGACTGAAGTGAAAAGGGGTGGGGAGGCTAGGCCTAGTGATTACTACCACCCTGAGAGAGGAGTGTGGATATTTTACATTGTAAGTAGGCACTGACCCCTAAGCCTCTCTTTTGGAGAATGAATACTTCTTTTTTTCCCTGCAGTTCCAGGGTTCATACCTATGGTCTAATGCATGCCTGGAAAGCACTCTGTACCACTGAGCCACACCCCCAGCTGGAGGGTGGATATTTTGAAAGTCACTAATTTTAAATGGGGCTAGGGTGTGGCCCAGTGGTAGAGTGCTGGCGTAGCATGCATGAGGCACTGGGTTCGATCCTCAGCACCACATAAAAATAAAACAAAGATATAATGCCCACCTAAAACTAAAAAATGAATATTTAATAAAAAAATTTCTTAAAAAAAATGAGAGTGCAGGTCTGGGCTTGTGGCTCAGTGGTAATGTACTTGCCTCACATGTGAGAGCACTGAGTTCAATCCTCAGCACCACATAAAAATAAATGAATAAATAAAGATATTGTGTCCATCTACAACTAAAAATAAAAAATAAAAAAATGGGAGTACATTCCTGAGAAACTCTTCCCAAAAGCATTTCAGGATTGTCTCATTTTCTAAGCAGGACAGGGTAAGGAGTAGTTGATGTTTGTCTGCATCTCAGAAGTTGTGACTGTGGCCCAAGGGGCAAGAGGTGCTAAATGATACTCCAGGCTTCTTCTTTGAGTGGCCAAACTTATAACTCTTGACAGCACAGCCACCAGGGCCACTCCTCCCTTCTTATGCAGGGATTCTGTGTGTCATTGTCCTCTGCTCCCCATTTCCATTGTTCTCTATAGGAGAGGAAAAAATTTTTCTCCTCTGCCTATTTTTGGTACAATAGTTGGGCCCCTATAAACAACACTGATAAGAAACAGTTTATCAGAAGGAAAGCGTACAAATTTATTTTTGATGCTGATTTTTGTGTGACATGAGGACCTTTATAGAAAAGAAGTAAAAACCCCAAACAACGGGATAGGCTGAAAATGTATATGTAATTTTCAACAAAGTAATAAATTGTGTAGATATGGAAAGACAAAGGAAAAGAACTTTTAGGGCTGTGACCTGTGGGAAGGTTGATATATTGAGAAACAAATGGAAGGTAAGGACAATCTTAGCAAGGTTTGTGCAGGTCCATCTTGGAACCAACTTTCTTTCTTTCTCATGATCATACAACTTTTCTGGTAAAACATTTCTTAGGAGTTTTTGCATTTAGTCAATTAAACTCTGGGAAGGCTTCTTTTTGCATCTGCTGAATCTTAAATTCCTTCAGTTTAAAATAGTCTATATGCCAAGGTGGCATATTCAGATTCCCTTCATCTCTCTTCAAAATAAAAAATGAAATTTAAATCTGAGAGTCAAAGAAATGGAAGAATCTGTACCAGCTTGCCTGGTTGGGGTATAATACAAACAACAAACACATTTTTTTTCTTCTCTCTTTCTCTCTCTCTCTCTCTTTTTTTGACTGTTAACCTGAGGTCCTTAAACTCTCTTTTTTCTTTCTTTTTGGTACCAGAGATTTAACCCAGGGGTGCTTAACCACTGAGCCACATCCCGAGCCCTTTTTTATATCTTATTTAAAGACAGGGCCATGCTAAATTGCTGAGATTGGCTTTGAACTTGTAATCCTCCTGCCTTAGCTTCCAAGTTGCTGGGATTACAGATGTGCACCACCATGCCTGGCTAAACTTTAAAATGAAGATTAAAACAAATAAAAAACAATCAGAGATTTGGTGTTAGTTGAAATTTTTAAGTGCTTTCCCTTTTATGAACCTAGTTTGTGAACACTTAGTGTATTATCTTAGAAAGTTGTATTGATAGATCCTGATACTGATTTGGATGATCAAAATGGTGAAGGCAATGTCATTCCTAATTTAGAGTCTTTCAATTAGTATGTAGGCAAAACTAGACTTTTTTAAAAATTAATCTTTATAGAAATCAAAATTTTTGCCCTCTTATATATATTGCTTATAACACAGAGCACAGTAAACCTCAATGCTGGCCATTACAATTTTTTTTTCTTAAATACCTAGTAGAGATTGTGTTTATTTTGATTGAAAGAATCAGGAAACAATTTCTGTGTTTACATGAAAATCTCATTCTTTTCCTGAATACCAGTCATGGGATTTTTTTCATTCCTTTTGCCCAGACTGTGATTAGAAGTATGAATAATAAGCCACACATATAATTGGAACCAGGCCTACTTCCTTCTCTCTGTGTCACATGTTAGATGCTGTGTACATTATAGAGTCGAACTGTGATTATGTATTCGTTTGGCAGTTACAACATGATAGAAAGAATGTGGCACAGAATATAATGTGGAAACCCTGTAACCTGTGCTTGTTAGAAACCTGTGTCTGCCTGGAAATGAGGCTTCTGAGTTGATTCTCCCATATCACCAGTCTTGCCTTTCCTTTCAGCAGCAGGTTAGAGGAGATGGGGACATTATAATTTTGCTCTTTTTTCCTGCTCCAGGGATACTACCGAGCTGGTTATTCCTTGCTGCGATTGCTCCAGCCTTATGAAGCAGCCCGCATGTTTTTCGAGGGTCTGCGACTTCTGCAAAGTGGCCAAGATCAAGCACAGATTGCTGATTTCCTTGTTGGTGTCTTCACCACCATGAGCAGTAAGTCACACTGGGGGAAATTAACTTTAAAAAAAAAAAATCACTGCTGGGGTTGGGATTGTGGCTCAGCGGTAGAGCGCTCGCCTAGCACGAGTGGGACCTGGGTTCGATTCTCAGCACCACATAAAAATAAAGACATTGTGTTGTGTCCATCTACCAAAAAAAAAAAAATCATTATTTTATTTGAGAGCCTTGTGGTGAGATAATTCCATGTTGTTTCTTCATGGCCGAAGTATGTAATTTGAATGAAACTGGTTTGCGCATTAGAAAGCATTTTGGAAGCTTTGCTGGCTCATGCTTATGTAAAAACAAGGAAGTACTAATGTACAAATGACTTCAGGCTTTTGAAGTTTTTTTCAGACCCTATAAGTTTTCTGTATTGCTATTTATAGTGATTTTCTCTCTCTCTCTCTCTCTCTCTCTATGTGTGTGTGTGTGTGTGTGTGTGTGTGATTTCCTTGTTTTTATAGACATGAGCCAACAAACCTTCCGGTATATATCATTTGTCTTATGTGATTTTTGCATGTATTTCTCTAATCTGTTAAGAAAATACTCTTATTTGCTATGAAAATAACCTGGAAGGCTGATGGATGGTCCTGGGAAAGCTCCCTGCCTGGTACAGTAGTGCTTTCAGCAGAGGACCCACCCACTCAATCTAGGAGGGACTCCTAGGGGAACCTTCTGAATCTCTGCATTAGATCACCACTCTGATGACCTGGCCTGTGAGATGCCTTGGTCAGTGTGTAGTTTAGGCAAAACCAGAAGCCTGTAAGCACAATGAGATGGTGTACTATCAAGTCCTGCCAATATCCGGGTCTTTGTTTTGAAGTATTGTATTTGATCAAATTTAAATTGCACTGATTTAAGATGTGTCATTAATTTATGGTTTGCCAGTTGTAGACATGTCCCTATTTCATAGCATAGAATGTGAAAAAAAGTACATATTAGAGTTACTGAGAAATGGTCTTTGGCTTTCAGAAGTGGGAAATCACTAATAGTTGAGTCAACTGTTATCAATTCAACTCTTCCCATTGTTATTATGGGAAAGCAAATTATATGATCTGTTTGTGGAACCCTGTGAATTTTGACTAGGTTGGCCCAGAGGGGTTAGCACGGTTGCAGTGGGAAGGCTTAGAGGCAGGCACAGCCATGGTCCTCAGACAGAGAAATGCAAGGTCTCCAGACAGGTGTGGGTGAGGCACAGCTCTCCAGTACCCGATTTGCTCACAGTGGCCTCTTTCTGTTAAAAAAAAATTAATGTTTTATTAGTGAATTATAGTTATACATAATAGTGGGTTCATTTTTGACAAATTCATTCATGCATGAAATATAATTTGTTCCATTTCAATCCCCAGTACTTCCATTTTCCCTCCATTCCTCTGTCCCTTATTCCCCATCCTCTACTCTACTGGTCTTTCTTCTATTTCTTTATTGTTTTTTTAATTGGTGCTTTATTGATATTCATAAAGGTGGAATTCACTGTGGTATATTCATATGTGTACATGGCATAGTTTGGTCAGTTTCGTTCCATAGTTCCTCCCCTTGTCCCCACCCCCAATCTCCTTCCTCTACTCCACTAATCCCCCTTCCATCTTCATGGGATTCATTCCCTTTTATTTTTTCTTCTTTAACTTCTGCATAGGAGAAAGCATTCGACCCTTGACTTCTAAGTCTGACTTATTTCACTTAGCATGATGTTCTCCAGTTCTGTTTATTTACCAGCAAATGCCATAATTTTATTCTTATTTATGCAAAATGGCCTCTTTTTCCACCTAATCTAGTGGCTTGGCCCATTCTCTGAACTTCCCCACTGTCTTTTCTTTATCTTTTAAAAGCCGTTGTCCTGTCAGAAGCCAGGCAACAGTTATGGGAATTCAAACAACTGCTTTTTGGTGACTGTACCTTAAGATAACCTGAGTGATTTCCGTTCTGCCCATCCTGAAGGGGCAGTTAACAGGATTTCTTAGGGCAATAAATACATCTGATACTTTTTTACCAAAGTACTTCATTTTGGAGGGTATGGTCCAAATTTTGAAATTTTGAGAAATATATTTATGGAAATTTTATAACCTTTCATATAGTGTTTGTTTGTTTAAATGTTTATTTATGCCTTGAACTTAATAACCCCAGAAGAGGTGCCATGTTATTCTGGCACTTGGCCTGTCCCTTTGGTCATTCTCATCCTAGAGTTTGAGAGAGGTGATGCAGAGGATCATGAAATGCTTTAGGTTGATGGGACACTAGGTTAGAAGAAGGTGTAGTGACTAGAAGAATTGGTAGATCTCAGCTTCAGTCTTGGTTTTTGTCATGACCAGCTAAACTATATGCCATGAAACCTGTCTTCAGTGATCATAGTTTCAATCTGTTAGATAACAATAATATTTGTCACATTTTTCTTAAGGGAATTGAGTTTTGTAACTTCCCTTGAGCTTCCATTTCCTCCTCTGTAAGTGCAGAAAATAGACACTGCCTTAGTGGTTTGTTTGAGAGATTAAATATAAGCATTTATCACTGGGCCCTGCAAATAGAAAGGCTAAGTAGATGTTAGCCCACATTATGCCTCCTGACTCTTTGGAGATTAATTTTATGGGTAAATGTAAAATGATTGCCACTTCAGTCAATTATAAAGGACTTTATACTTTGAAATGCCTTTCTTTTTAAGATTTTTAATTACCATTTGTCTGTGTGTGGTCTACATTAACATTTCTAAACTATGGAACTTTTTTTCAGGTGACTCCATTGTTTTGCAGAGCTTTTTGCCCTGCTTTGATCATATTTTCACTACTGGATTTTCAACAGAAGTGTGGCAATCTGTAATAGAAAAGTTGGCAAAGAAAGGATTATGGCATGTAAGTAAAAGGAACTGGCTCTCTTATGGGGAAAGTATACTTTTTTATATTTATTTTTTAGTTGTAGTTGGACACAATGCCTTTTATTTATTTATTTATTTATTTTTTATGTGGTGCTGAGGATCAAACCCAGGGCCTTGCACATGCTAGGCAAGCGGTCTACCGCTGAGCCACCACCGCAGCCTTGGAAAGTATGTTTTTGATGAAATTATTTCTTTCTTTTCACACTGAGGGATTGTGAAGTATTATTTGTTTATCTTGATGTCAGTAGCTTTTTAATTGAAATAGTGTTAAAGATAGAAAGTTATTGAGAAATCTTAATCAACCAATTTCTCTCTCTTCTTTTTAAGATAGTAAAAATACTTAATCTGTGGCAATCTGGCCTCTTGATCTGTGTCTTCAATGTTATCAAAGAGATGTAAAGTTTGAATGCTAATGGTAATGTGAGATGAGGACAATGAACATTGTACATTCATTTTCATAATTCCTTGTTGTGCTTCAGCTATTCTGGGCCCCAGAGGACCTGTGTGCTGATCAGAGGGTTTCTGAATAATTTTTAAGTGTCTGCAAAAACCAGGGAATAGCTGCTAAATGAGGGTGTAGGTATCCGTGAATCCTAATCCTCCACTTGCTGCTTTGGTTTGATTACTTCCCCTTTGAGCCTCATTTCCTAATTTGTAAGTTGCAACATACAAACTTTTTCTTTAAAGTTTTTTTTTAGAATTAAGAAATAATGGACTAGAGTATCTAATAATAACATTAGCTAATACTTATTGAAGTCTTCTGATGTGCTAGGCACTGAGCTAGGAAGTTCTGTGATACCTGATATATGCTAAGTGCCCAGCGAATAGTAGTTTTCCTTGATGATGGGTTGTAAGTGCTCATGAGAATAAGGTAGCCAAAGCTGGGAGATTGATTAGGAAGGGGCTGTTAGGTTTTCTAAAGTTGGGCATTCCAGAAAGTTCACCAGAATCAAGGGAAAACTGTTAAGGACTCTAGGTCTAGGCAAGTTAGATGACTTTAGAATAGATAAATTCAGTTTTTGGCAAGGTCATGAATTCCAGTAGAAATCTAATGAAAACTATGGGGCTCTCTTTGCATTCGCAGATAATTGTACATATAGTTTCATGGGTTCATGGGAAACTCCATTAAGTTTAGCCATGGTCTCTTGAAGCTTACTTCCGTATTAAAAGTTTTTAGGAGGGCAGGCAGCAAGGATCAAGAAAGCAGACTAAACTCTTGGAGATCAAGAAATCAGAAATCCAGGACCCTGTTATGACATTTTGGATCTTCTCTCTTTGGTTAAAAAGGGTGGACTCAGATCTATCAATAAGGATCTTTCCAGCTTTATTTTTAGAAAGTTCTGAAATTCTGTGATTCTACTACTAAGGTAAATCTCTAGGAGGTCTTAGTCTTCATTAGCAGAAATGCTAATTTATACAGACTTAGGAAGGAGCTGGGTTCTCTCTTCCCAGTGTGAGGTAGACATGAATAAAATTCCATGGCCTAGGTGGATGTGAAAGAATGGGATCCAGGCAGCTTCTAATAGATTATCATTCCATGCAAACAATAAACATCAGGAATACAGCCCAAGTAGTAGGTTGTGTTAGTTTTTTGTCACTGTGACCAAAATACCCAGCAAGAACAACTTAGAAGAGGAAAAGTTTATTGTGGGTTCACAGTTTCAGAGGTTCAGTTCATGGTTGACAGGCTCCATTGCTCTGGGTCCAAGATGAGGCAGACATCATTGTAGAAAGGTATGGTGTAAGAAAGCTGCTCAGCTCATGGCAGCCAGGAAGCAGAGAGGGAGGACAAGGTGCCAGGGGGCGGGGGAACAAAAACCCAAAGTTATGCTCCCAGTGACATTCTTTCTACACCCTACTTGCCTAGAGTTACCACCCAGTACAGTAGTTCATTCAAATTATTAATCCATCAAATGGATTAACCCACCAATTAGTTTGCATCTCTTATCATCTGATCATTTTACCTCCAAATAGGCCTTCATCATCTCACACATGAGCTTTTGGAGGATACCTCATGTTCAAACCAGAGCACAGTTCTGACATTTTGGCTGCAGTGGGGCCTGGTAATTCTCAATTACTGGAAACAGGCATCTCGTAAAAGCCAGACCAGCAATCAGGACTGTCAAAGGCCTAGATGTATCATCTTGAGTGTGGGCACGTGCTTATTTAAGTGACACCAAACTGAAAGAAGTTAGGAGAAAGATGAGGCCATAGTACCAATTTCTGAAGTCCTAAGTCTTTTGACAAGAGTATACATGAGGGAGGTTGGAATTGAGAGTGAGTCATACCAGAGCCTGGAGTTATTCATCCTGTTGGCATACCTGGATGATCTCATTAGGGGCGTTTCAGAGTATGCCTGACCTTGGAAAATTTGCTTAAATTCTCTGAAGTTAGGTTTCATGATTTTACATAAGGTCATGGTTGAACAACTGACCTTCTGGCATGGGTGGGTGGGGGGGAGGGAGGGAGAGAGAGAGAGAGAGAGAGAGAGAGAGAGAGAGAGAGAGAGAGAGAGAGAAACCTGATTTGTAGTATTTGCCAATTTCCATAGTGTAAATACTCTCATCACAGCCAAGATAGGAAGAGATGTGCATAATCAGCTCACTAGTTGGTTCTACCATACCACACAAATAGGGTCTAATGGGCCCCAAATACCTGGGGCTTATGAAACACTGGTATGTTAAAGAATTGATCAGGATGTAATATTTCTGAAGGATTCAAGTCTTCTGGTCATACTTTAAGAACTTGGCAGGGAATTACTTTTTTACCCTGCTGTCACTATACTGTCTGTGTGCAATGCTGTGTGACACGGGCTGCTCCTGTCCTCAGCAGGCATTGAGGAAGTATGGAGAGAATTTAGTCTTCAGCAAGAACAGGAAGACATTGATTCTCAATACTTAGGCTGAAAAACTTGGTAGGTAGCTTAGCAATAGCAAAAAAAGGACAGAGCTAGAGCATGTTTTTTTGTTTGTTTGTTTAAGGCTTAAAATAATCTTTATGCTCTGATAACCTATGTGAAGAACATTATTACTCCAACCTTTTCTTTTTTCCCCCCTCCTATCAGTCATTTCTACTGTTGTCAGCAAAAAAAGACAGACTACCAGAAAATATTCATGTCCCTGAGTTGTCACTGAAAAGTCTCTTTGAGGTAAGGTGACTTCTTGAAACTTATGGTTTCAATTCAGGCCACTTCAGCCTTGTATTTGGGACTTCCCTTTCAGCTGCCTCACCACAAATTTGTTATTTATAATAATCTTAAACTTGGACTACAGCAAATCCAGGTTTTATTAATTCCAAACTTTATGGGCAAAGGAATTTTAAATTACATATTTTTGTGTTAGCTTTTTGTTGCTGTGACAAAATACCTGAGATTAACAATTTAAAAGGAGGAAAGATTTATTTTGGCTCATGGTTTCAGTCCATGGTCATCTGGCAGTACGGCTTTAGGACCTGTGGTAAGGTAGAACATCATGGTGGGGAGCACAAGGTAGAACAAAGATGCTCACCTCATGGCGGCTGAAAAGCAGAGAGAAAGGGGACGGGGCCCCAGTCCCAATATCTCCTTCAAAGGCATGCCCCTTATGATCTGCTTCTTCAACTAGGCTCTACCTCCTGAAGTTTCCACCACATCTTTGTAGTGCCACCATCTGGGGACCAAGCTTTTTGGCACATGAGCCTTTGCTGGACATTCCAAATCCAAACCATAACAATATAGTTGTATTTAATTTCCATAATTCTTATGATTATTCTTCTGTGTGTGTGTCTGAATGTTTTCCAGAAATATGTCTTCATTGGACTTTATGAGAAAATGGAACAGGTGCCCAAGTTAGTCCAGTGGCTCATCTCCATTGGTGCAAGTATTGAGACGATAGGACCATATCCTCTTCATGCGCTCATGCGACTCTGTATCCAAGCAAGTGAGTGTTCTCCTAGTTACACCCTCCAAGCTGCCCTCCAGCTCTTAGACCTTGGTCTCTGCTGAGCTCAAAATAAAATCAGAATTTAACCAGTTGAATGGAGACTATCCAAATGATTTAAAATTTCAAATGAATTAAAGGAGCAGCACAATGGTGTCATTTTCATTTCTCCTGGGACCTAGTAGCTATAAGAGATTTAAATTGAAAGGATTCTGTGATCCTGGACAGATCTGGCAACAGGGTGAATCCCTAGGACCTAAGGAAAGGACTTGGAACAGACAGATGCTTCTGGGCAGCACTCTGGGGAGAGCTGTGATTTTCCCTGCTGGCAAAGGCAGTTTTGATGGTCCTCTCCCCTCCACATTTATTTTGTCTGTAGCCCAGAGGGTCTGCTGCTGTGTTGTGGAACTTCAGCTATGAGATCCTAAGGGAAACATGGTTATTATTGATACAGAAGGGTTCTGTTCTTTTAGAAGACTGCTATTTTTGTAAAAAAAAATTTTGTAAGCTTCACCATCTGGTTATAAGATTTAAATTTAAAAATATTTTTATTCTATCATTGACACATACACTCACTCACACTTTAGACAGAAGCGTGTTTTTCTTTGCCAGACATACCGGGCATCAATATTGAACATTTGCCCAAACCATTTTAGAGCCAAAAGGTGTCAAGAAAACAAGTTCCCATCTACTTGTCTCCACAGGAATGGGAGTGGTTGGGATGGCCAGAAGTTTGAGGCCTTAGACCCCATCTTTGTTTTTGACAAATTTTTGTCTTGCCATATCTATTTCATAAGTGCCCCTGGGTTCAATCCCCAGTACAAAAAAAAAAAAAAAAAAAAAAAAGGCAGTTGAATCCAATGTTCTCAGTTTCAAATTAGGTAACTGGAATGCAGAAAAGTGTTTCCCTGGTTAATTATCCTAGTTATAATGTCATTTCTCTCCACTAGTCTACTCTTTAAGTAAGCTCCTGCTGTTATAGGCAGAATTGGTAAAATGAAGTCTTTAAGTTTATCCCTGATTGGTTTCTTAGAGGACAACTCTAACATGGTGCAAATGGTATCCACAGAGTTGACAGAGGTATGTGGCTTTCCTAGATCTCAGGAGCTACAAAGAAGGAATCTAGGAAAACACTTAAAATCTATTTCCTGTTGATAATGATGGAGTAGGGCAATCTAATCAGAGATCCTAACTTGATAACTGAAATGGAGGCTAGTGGTGCCCTTTCCATATTCTCTTTACAACAATGCCTGTCCCCACCTGCTGTCTTTGTTGGCATATAACAACTCACAGTTGCTTCTTTGGCCAGGAGCTTTTTACTCCTAGGCATCCCTTCCCAGGGAGGTTCTCCCTCAACCTTGCCTTCTTTCTTGGGGACATTCTGTTCCTTTTTGACTGATTGAGTAGGGAATACAAAGGTCAGCCCAGGCCTTGAGGGTAGGTCAGAGCTGTAGTACAATTCATGCCCTAGAACTGCTGGAGAGATCAGGCTGGAGCCAACTGCAGCCAATGCCATTTCCTTGCTTAGCTCCTTCCCTAACCCTGTCCTGCTGTCTTTCTCCTGAGATCTCTGTCTTTTCCTTGATAAATCACGTGTATAAAAATCTCGACTTTCCCTCAATAAATCACATGTATAAAAATCCCTGTTTCAGGCTTTTAGGGAATCTGACCTGAGCTTAAAATGAATAACTTTCTGTAATTCATCTTTTCCATTTACACATTCCTGTGTCTCCCCACACCTGTTTCTGGTGAGTGGAAACGTGTTGGATTTACCATTTATTACCTTAGTGTGGCACACATTGATTTGCTTTGCTGATTTTATGTAAGTAAAAAATAACATCTATAACCAATTTTAATTCCCTCTAGGGGAAAACCAGCTTTTCAGGTGGTTAATGGACCACAAGCCTGAGTGGAAAGGCCGCATTAACCAGAAGGATGAGGATGGCTGCACTGTCCTGCACGTTGTCGCTGCCCACTCCCCAGGATACCTCATCAAGCGTAAGTGTGGGCTGTGCTGGAGGGGTGGTGTGGGCCTGGTAGTTTTAGGCTTAGAAAACCCACATAACTCACCACCACCTTTTCTCTTCCCACCTTGTGGCAGCCTCATAGGGCTAATCTTTCCCTTGAATTCAGCATGATTGGGATAATAGACTGTATGTAAAAAGAGGGTGGGGTGAGGGGGAAGAATTGCTGGGATCACTTATTTTTTGGCTTTAAGTGGCTTCTGCAAGCTTGAATGACCCAAGAACATGGGCTTTGGCTGTGTTTGTCCCCCTCCTCCTCACACTGCATGTTACAAGTTGCTTTGTTTTATGCCAGATTTGTGTTAGCTGCAGAGTTTAACTCTGAGCCAGACAATAGATGTGTCTTGCCTTCCTGGAACTTAGAATTTAACACAGGAACTATATGTAGCCTTCCATACTTACTGGGGCCAGGCAGGCCACATGGAAGAAAGGCTGGTACACATAGGGAAAAACTGGTTCTTTGGACATGGACTTACTTAGTTTTGTGAAACAAGAAGATGTTCACTCCCATAGAGCTCTCTGATGGCACCCATTTTCCCTGAAACTCTCAAGCTTCTCTGTCTTTGTTTTCTGTTTTGGATGGAGGATACAATTTTTTCCATAAAGGTAATGGGCTCTCAGACTCAGTGGAAGGGAGGTGACAGGGAGTTATGGGGAGCTTGTGTCTGCTGCCGTTGCAGCCTGAAGCTGATCATGGGCACCAGGTTGGGCTGTCATCTTGTAATGGCACGAAACATTGGGAATGTGAATTGAAAAAAACAAAACTGTGATATCTCATGATTTTCAAATGGCTGATCAGAATTAAACATACCTGTGGAGCAGACATAGCCTAAATGACTCCTTTTGGTGGCCTCTAGTTTGGTGGGTCCTCAGAAATTGCAGCAGGTCTCAAAAATTCTCTTTTAATCAGGTCTCCAGAGGAGCTGGTGAGTCTTGTTTTTCTAATGTGGTTCCCCACTGAACTGGGACCCAGGAACCTATATGTGGGACAACAGAGAAAGAGTGTCCTTTGGATTTCTTTTTTTTTTTTGTGGTTCTGGGGATTGAACCCAGGGCTTTATGCATACAAGGCAAGCACTTTACCAACTGAGATATACCTCCAGCCCCTATGGATTTTTTTTGAGATTTATTAAAATATAATTCATGATTATATAATTCACCTGTTTAATGTGTACAATGTAATGCTTTTTAGTAAATTTGCAGAGTTGTGCAGCCATCATCACAGTAAATTTTAGAACATTTTTGTTATCTCCCAAAGAAACTCCATATCCATTAGCAGTCATTCCCTACTTCCCCTACCCCTCCAGTCCTAGGCAACCACTAATCTAATCTACTTTCTGTCTCTATGGATTTGCCTTTTCTAGAAATTTCATGTCAGTGTAATTGTATAATACGTAGATTTTGGGGACTGGCTTTTTTCTACTAGCATATTTTCAAGGTTCATCCATATTATAGCATGAATCAGTAGTACATCATTCCTTTTTTTTTGTCCACGGAGCTACATTGTTTTTAATATGTTTTTTTATAATGTTATTAATTAGCTTGCATTATTTTTGGACAGTTGGCTCTTGTGAACTATGAATGGTATGTACTGGCTCCAGCATGTGCTAAAGCTAATATTAACCTATTTATAGTTAAATTCTATGCCACCAATCACTATGCTGTTCTTACATATTTCAGCCCTGCAAATCATCAAGAAAAAACATTTCAAGTAAGGACTTTGCAAAGAAACATACCTCTAGGTTTCCTATTATCCATGTAGCTTGACTAACATTTGGGTATTTTATAGATGTGTCATGACTTTAGTGCTAAATTGGCAAGCATTCTAGTTTTAGTAAATGTTAGCACAAAAGGACTGGGCCGGATGCAAACTTCATCATATCAGCAAAAGCCTTTATTCAGGAATAAGTCATGCCTCTGATGGACCCACTTTCCTGGTGGAAAATGAGCCACTGGCCAAAGGGGGAGCTTATGCTTATGCAGGTTACACTGAAAGGTGACTTTAATTAATGAGTGTGTCAGTTTGGGCACTCAGGAATTTGAGATCTGTTCTTACTGGGGCAAGATGGGGGTCTGGGGTCAGTGGTCAATATCTGGGATTTGTCTTTACTGGGCCAGATGGAGGGTCTGGGGTCAGCAGTCAGTATCTGGAAAAGGATTTTTTTGGGGGAAGGATTAATGCTTTGGCCTCTTCTTAGAGACTGTCATTCCAGACTTGATGGATATCTCCTTCCTGGAGTCTGTCTTGTCACTGGGAAAGAATGTATTGGGAAAGGATCAATATATTACCTTCTCCTTCATCCCCTCTCCTCAGGCCACACTATTTTGGGGTTTGTCATTTTCCATATCCAATAATCAGCACTGTCTAATGCAAATATAATATATATTATATAAGAGGGACTTTATTAGATTGGCTTACATTATCAGAGGATGAAAAGTAAGTGGATAGCCAGAGAAATCAGTAATTTATCAGTCCAAGAAACTGGAAGCTTTAGAACAAGAGAGGGGCCAATGATATAGACCCTGTCTAAGGCCAAAGACCCCAAAACCCCATGGAGAGCCATTGGTGCAAGTCTGTATTGAAAGGCTGAGGAGCCTGGACTCTGATGTCTGTGGGTGACAGCATCAGAGAAACACACACACTCTAAAACGGAAAGTTTGAACAAGAGCTGGTTTCCCCTTCTTCTGCTCTTTTGTTTCATCTGAGCCCTCAGCTATTATTTATTTATTTATTTAGTGGTACTGGGTATTGTACCTAGGGATTTGTACATATGAGGCAAGGACTCTACCAACTGAGCTATATCCCCAGCCCTTAGCTTATTTGATGGTGCTGCCTACATGTGGGGCAGGTCTTCTTCACTGCGTTCACTGACACATACACCAATCTTTTCTGGAAACACCCTCATGAACACACCCAGAAATATGCTTTACTAGTTCTCTAGGCATGTCTTAATCTTCTCAAGTTGACAACCAAAATTAACTATCACAATCTGTACATAAGAACATGCATTATTTGTTTTTCTCTGATTGCATTTTTTTACTTAAGATAATGTCCTTCAGATCTATCCCTGTTGCTGAAAATTATAGAATTTCATTCTTTTTGTGACTGAATAATAGTCCATTGTGTGTGTATCCATTTTATTTATTCATTCTTCTGTGGATGGAAACTTAGGTTTATTCCATACTTTGCTTATTGTGAAAAATGCTGTAGTAAGCATGGTGGTGCAAATGTCTCTTTGACATACTGATTGCAATTACAGTAGTGGAGTTGCTGGATCATATAGAAGTTCTGTTTCTAAATTTTTGAGGAAACTTGAAACTGTTTTCCATAGTAGGTACACTAATTTATACTCCTCAAAACAGTGTGTGTTTTCCTTTATCTGTATCCTTACTAGCACTTATTATTTTTTGTCTTTTTTATAATAGTCATCCCAACTGGGGTGAGATGTTTCAATGTGGCTTTGATTTATGTTTTCCTGATGATTAGTTATTTTGAACATTATTTCATATACTTGTTGGCTATTTGAATATGACTTTTTGAAAAATGTTTATTCAGGCTATTTGCTGGTTTTTTAGTTGGACTTTTTTTTTTTCTGTTTGAGTTTGCAAATTCTGGAAGTTAATCCTTTGTTAGAAGAATAGTTTTAAAATATTTTCTCCCATTCTGTAGGTTGTCTGTTTACTGTCTTTGTTCTATTGATTGTGTCCTTAGCTGTATAGATGATTTTTGCTTTGATTTAATCCCATTTGTCAATTTTTATCTTTACGTCCCATACTATTGTGGTGATGTCCAAAAACATCTTTGCCAAGACCAATGTCCTAAAGTGTTTCTTCTCTGTATTCACTTAATAGTTTCATAGTTTTGGGTCATACATTTAAATCTTTGATCATTTTGAGTTGATTTTTTTTGTATGATGAGAGATAGTAATCTAGTTTCTTTTGGAAGCATATGGATATCTAGTTTCTTCAGCACCATTTATTGATGAGACTTCCTTTCTCCATCGTATATTCTTGCTTATTTTGTTGAAAATGATTTGGTTCTAATTACATGGATATATTTCAGTGTTCTCTATTCTGTTCTGTTGCTTTCTTAAGTCTGTTTTTATGCCAGTATTATATTGTCTTAGTTACCATGGCTTTGTTATATGGTTTTTTTTTTCTTGGTGCAGGTACTAGGGATTGAACACAGGTGCACTTGACCACTGAGCCACATCTCTAACCCTATTTTGTATTTTATTTAGAGACAGGGCCTCACTGAATTGCTTAATGCCTTGCTTTTGCTAAAGCTAGCTTTGAACTCAGGATCCTCCTGCCTCATCCTCCTGACCTACTGGGATTATAGGTGTGTACTGCTGAGCAAGGCTATAATATGTTAGGTGTGGTAATGGTTACAACTTTGCTCTTTTTTCTCAGGATTGCTTTGGCTATTTGGGATTTTTAGTGATTCCACACAAACTTTAAGATTTTTTTTTCTATTTCCTCAATGAATGTCTTTGCTGTTTTTATAGGAATTGCATTGAATCTGTAGATCACTTTTTGTAATATGGACATTTTAACAATATTAATTCTTCTGATATATGTGAATATGAGATATCTTTTCATTTTTTAATGCCCTCTTGAATTTCCTTCATCAGTGTTTTGTAATTTTCATTGTAGATATCATTCATTTCCTTGGTTAAATTTATTCCTAGATTTTTTTTGTAGCTACTGTGAATGGTATTTCTTTCTTGATGTATTTCTAAGCAATTTCATTATTTTTGTATAAAAAAGCTACCTATTTTTACATGTTGATTTTTGTATCCCGCAACCATACTGAATCTATTTATTAGTTTATCAGTTTTTCTTTGTGGTGAAATATTTAGTTTTTTTCTCTATATAAAATCATGTCATCTGCCAACAGGGATAATTTGACTTCTAGTACTGTGTTAAATTGATGGTGAAAGTGAGCATCCTTGGCTTGTTATCTTAGAGGAA